AAAGATTTGCCAAATAAAATCCTAAACACATTTGTCAGTAGCTTTAATTAGAAATCTTTAAGTTAAATTTACTTGGAATATGGAATTAAGTAAACTTTACAAAAAATAAGTAATTTTAACTCGGCTAGTAAACGGTTGATTGATATCGATTTCCTTTGTCTTTGTATTACATTTCACTAAAACAATAATATTGAATTTTATTACCCATTTATAGCATGTGCTTTACTTAGATCATCTAAGTAATTCATTTTACATCATGTCAGAAGTTAAGCAGCATCATGTGAATGCAAACACCTCAATACTTGGTAGACAATACTCGTAATATCACAAAATGGTAAGTTACTAATACTGACAACAAAAATCAATGATAAAACAGTGTAAATACAGCTGGAAACCAGTGAAAAATGAACCTCATTAATTATTCAAGGTCCAGTGCATGATGGGAACCCCAGTATTAGGTAAGTTGAGTAATTTTTACTTAATTTTATTGAGTTGATATTTACACTTTCATTTCTACTCGCTTGAATTAAGTACTGATATGGAATTACTTATTTTTTGTAATTCTTGCCTGAACTAACTTTTTCAAGTAAATTACATTGTTTTTTCACTATATTTACTTCACCAAAAAATATATATATATATATTTTTTACAGTGTAAAAATACCAAAATAATTGGGAGAAATAATGTTCTCAAGGAATAGAACTCTTACTTAATATTTTCTTACTTTTTTCAGTGATACACATCTCATCAAGAGGTGTGTTGACAGGTTCAGGATAAGATAATGAACCCAAATAGAGAGTACTGTTTTCGAAAAGCATGCGTATGCCAATTGGAATAATATATTCTGATAGAAACTCTGAAAGGCAGACCTTCGTTATTAAAGAGCTGTACAACATGAAATATCCCATTACTAAACCAGTGATTATAACAAAGTCTTATTTATAAATAAAATATTCCTATTGTTGGAAAGCATATTTATACTTTGGAATACTTGATCACTGGAGCGTCACTTAACATCAGCAGCGCTAAAAGGATCTGCCCTTATGTTGTTTTAGTTTGGTTATTTAAGAAATTCATAATAAAAAATTATAACGCAAGATACCCTGTGGAAGTATGTGAGATGTGTGGTTTATTTAAACTGCAAAGGAAAAATATTAAATTAAAATTATTGTACCTGATGTGAAGGGGGAGGGTGAGAATTTATACGTGCGTCAGGTTCCTCAACAAGAAAGACTTCCGCATTCACCTCTGCATCCTCGCTCATAACTCCTCTGGAAGCCTGCTCACTCCTCGATCCTCACCTCCTCGCGGAGCAATTACAGAATTGAGATGTCCTTCAAGATGGCTGAGCTCGATCAGTTTCCAGGTCATAGGATGGAGGATGGATGACGGAGGAGCGAGGAGACAAGGAGGGATATTGAGAAGCATCCTGAGAAGTCATGAAGAGGATACTCAGGTCCATCCTCCTCTCGCGTCCTAAGGGGGTCGAGCTCAGATGCGAGGAAGGGAAGCGAGGAAAGGAAACGAGGATGCACAAATATGAAATGAGAAACATCCTCTTATTGTACCACAAGGAGGTTTTGAACGAGGAGTGTGGAAGCTGTACAAGGCAGAGTAAGGATTCAAAGGTGTATACAGAATTCTTTCTTGTCGTATTCTGAAGGCTATGCATCCCATAGTTCTCGATCCCTATCAACAACAAACTAAACTCCTTATCAAGGAATATGATGCCAATCTCCTTCATCCAGGGCCAGAAAGGGTCCTTGTAGAGCTCAGACGTCACTACTATTGGATTTTAAGAATCATAACAGCCATGAAGAAACATCAACTTATGTGTGTTGAATGTCAAAAGTGGCATGCCCAACCTAACATCCCATGATGGCAGATATCCCACCAGTTACCTTTACAAGACCCCTTATATTCCACTGAATGGACTTTTGGCCCATTTACCGTAAAAATAGGATGACGAACAGATGTGGCTATTGTCTTCAAGTGTATGATCACCTGATGCCTCCATCTGGATCTACTCTAGAGTCTTCTTGATGTCTCTATGGAGATTTTATAGCTAGAAGAGGGAAGCCTTTCGAGCTCTTTTCTGATAGTGCACCCAAATTTGGAGGGAAACGAGATTAAAAAGGCATATAAAGCTATGGCGTCTTGATTAAAGGATCAGTTAGCTGAACATATCTTTTTCACATTTATTCCTCCACATTGTGATGTTTCATTAACAAAGTTTGGGAGGAGCACGTTCAGTTAATTAACACAAGTGGAGTGAACTCAGCAATCAATGATAAGAGGTGTATATACAGACTCAGCAATCTCACCTCACTCTATCGATATTAGCAGTATCCCTCCACCGCCCCTTCTCCACACTTCCAGTCTTAAACACTTACGGGTGGAGTACTTTGGGTTCGGGCCAAACTCCGAGCTCAGAGCCCTCCCCCCTGGCCAGCTCGCCAAATACGCATGTAATCTTATCCACTCTAATTATATGCAAGTGTGAACTCGTGAAAATAATGGTTTTTGGGAGAGAAGAGTAAAATCAGTGAAACAAGGCTTGAAAGTAATTGTAAAGGAACAGACAAGTCCCTGAAACCATCTTCCGCACTGTTCTCATTGAGGGCATTGTGAATGTCAAGCGTTTTATTGGATATTACAGACCCAGACCCAATCACGCCTAGCATTCTGCTCATGATGGGTCACCAGGACTCTTCTCTCCCATAAGTAATGTATGACTCCAGCAATCTTTTGGGAACCAGGAGACGGAGGCCTAACCAAACGTGTTGACCAATTCCTGGCTATAGATTATTAATCACTATCTGCCAAATCTCCATGAGAGACAAAAATGGCAAAAGAAGGGTTGACCAGTGCTCATCATAGACCCATAGCTTCCACAAGCCCTTTGGCCAGTGGGCAAGGTTACCCATACCTTCCCTGGACATGCATGGACGTATAAGTACAGATTCAGTTCAGGTTCAAGTTCAGACTTATGTTAGGCCTGTGGCTTGGTTAATCCCTCTTACCAAACATGGATGATGACAACACCAATCCTTCCACTTAAGGACTTTCTACCAGGTTCAAATGTCCCAAGCAACATTTGGGGGCGGCTATGTTCCAAAGCCCAACAATGCCCCCTGAAGGTATATTTATGTATATATCTTTATTAATGCTTGAATATAGCCAAGTCAGTGTCTATGTACACAGGTGGAGCGACCCTACGCTCCTAATAAAAATAATAAGAGATATTTTTATTTGGGAGTTCGTTTTTTTCCACATGAATAACAAACTGATAAGAATTGATAAGAAAGTAAATGTGTACCTTGAAATGCAATTTAAGTCGGTTTGGATAAAAGCGCATGTCAAATGCATAAATGTAGCCTAAATGTAAACTTTAGTTGCCTAACGATGCTTTCGGGTTGTTTCGGGAAATGCACCCCATAAATAAGTAGCTAATAACATTTTGTTTTTGAGTCGTTCTGTTAATTTATGGAGCGAAGCAAAATGTTCATTTTATATTAGCCTGAAATTAAACAGTTACATTATTTAATCAATTATTTTGAAAGACAAAAAAAAAAAAAGACCCGTCCTCGTGTTCTCTGTAAGCCCAGCTGCTTTCCTTTACAGTTTCTCCTTGTCCAGACACGTCATATATGCGAGGAACTGTCCATATTCGGAGGCAGTAACCCATTTAGTTTTACACATTTAGGTTTACCAACCTTTTCGTCAATACGTTCCAGAATAGGTTAAAAATTTTTTTTAAAGAAAAGTAAAAAGTAACAAATGCTTATAGGGTTAAATTCTAAAAAAAAAAATGTTTGTTTAATTAAAAGCCTTTAATCAGTAAAAAAGTAGATTTTTAGCCTGTGTCAGGTGCAGACTTTTTTTTCAAAAAATTAACATGTTGTTGGTTGTTTTTTTAGACCTCTTTGTTTAAACACCGACTTGACATTTTATTAAAATGTATAAAATGTTGTGAAAGCACTACAGCTACAAATATAAATTGTGCCTTCTTTTTCTGACAGAACAATCACTTGCGTGCGTCTGCCTGCACTGTCTCTTGACTGGACGAGTTTTTACAAAGCGCAGATGATTCTTTCCCTTGTGAAAAGTAAGTACACTTTAGCATACTTTTAAAAAGAGGGATTAAGGAAATATTAGTCAACATTTGAAGTGGAACAAAACATTTAATCAATGTTATTGAACAATACCCGTTCTTGTCTTATAGGACAACTTTGATCAACTTTTTTAACCACTTCAAATACTTTAAACGAATACAAGTATAAGTGCTACTTGTACACGTAATTGGATGTTATTTACAATTAGATGAAAATGTAGTTTAAATTGATATGCAATTGGTAGACTATTTTAATTACTTCAAAAATAATTTAATAATTTGAAATATGGTGACATGTACTGGCTATTTATGTTAAACAAGACACATCAATACCATTTATCTTGATGCTTTTATATGTCATGTAGCCTATTTAAATAGGCTTGTAATTACAAATTTGTAATGATGAAGCAATTCAGTATAAACTTCAGTATGCGTTCACTTCAAATGTATAACAAACAGGCTATAATAAAGTACTTTATGTGCTTTAGGTCAGCACATCAAAATAAGTGTACTTCTTTAAAGCATTATGATAGATGATTATTGATCTTGACTTTTTTACTTTTAAGTAAAACGTTAAATTACAAAGTGCATTTTAAAAAAGTGTACTAAACTGTACTCTCTATACACTTACATTTAATTTTATTTCGTTGTTTCACAGTACTGTTATTTAGTTTTTAAGATTTGAAGCACTGCAAATGCACATTCGATGCAATTAAGCGCATTTCTTTTTCACAAGAGTTATCCACCTATGACAAATTATTGTTTACGTAGCCTATTATTTTTTTAAATATGAAAACCTGTTTAGTCTTACCTTGACTTGAACGAAAAACAACATTTGTCATTCATATTCAAATCATATTTACTGTATTTTAATGCGAGTTTGAACATTATGCGAGTAGCCTATGATTTATTTTCGTTTTTTTTTTCCTGTCCAAATATTAATGCACATCCAATCGTGTAATCCTTTTAGATTCTTCACGGCATATGAACGCAAACAAAAAAGGGTGCGCAGAGATTTTTAACACCATTGTTTTTTTCAGCAGCTTGTTGAAGCAGAGCCAGTAATAATAATAATTATAACATCCTTATAGAGGTTAATACTGTTGCATTGAAACATACAATAACGAAACATGCTTTTTCATTGTCTCAGAGTTGACGCAAGTGTGTGTGTATTTGCACAGCATATCTCGGAGAAACATTTAGGCTACTCTAACTAGGCCTATAGACAAATATCGCTTAAGTTTCCTTTCAAAAGTCACATACTTTTTGTCCCTTGAAGAAAAGTTCACAGTTCACAATAGGGGGGTTCCAGAAAAATATTGCAGGCGAATTCCGCTTAGCTTCTTTTCCTTCATCCGTCTGTTCTGGAACCAAATCTTGACCTGTCGGTCAGTGAGGTTTAACATGCTGGAGAGCTGAAGCCGTTTCTCTTTATTGATGTAAACATTAAAGAAGAATTCTCGCTCCAATTCTCGGATCTGAAACTTGGTGTATGGACATCGCTTCTTCCTCACTCGTGGGGTAGCTATAGCAATTCAACAAGAAAGAGAGAGGTCAAAACCACAGCAATGATATAATCAAATGATCAATTATTGGCTTGATTTCATTATGGATGTACCAGTAACTTTGATAATGAAAAACAACAATATTAGTTACAGCCTATAGCCGCTATTTGTTACTAATTAACCTTTCCCCCCATAAAAAAGTAAAATATTAAACCATAACTTTGGCAGTGCATTTTATGCCACGTGCCACCATACTAGTTAATGACGTTTCAACAAAACATAGAATAAATGGATCTTGTGTTAGTCTAGACTCTATAGGTATTCTTCAGGCTATTCAAATTGATACACTATTGCGAAGTAACGGGTTTGTTTCCATGTAATGTATTTCTCAGAATAAAGTTATTTTCAAAAACGCATTACACTTTCTGCTAAATTATTGAATAATACTTTCGAACGGTTTTTGATGTGGTGGGTTACACTGGCTTTCGTCTTCTTAGATGCTGAAAGCTACGTTCTGCTCAATAGCTTTTTATTATTGGCGGTACAAGTTCACGATCAAAGTTACTATTTGTCACCATTGCTTCCTCGCACAATTTCACAGACTAACACATTGTGTGAACCATGATGTTTCTTCAAAGACCTTTCCCATTGTAAAAATTCTTCCCGCTCACTGAAAAAGCTTTGTAGCCAGGTTATAATAAAACCCCTTGAATGCTTATAAAAATCCACATAAAATCTAATACGGAACACCGCTCTATAGCCAACATTTGACAGCGACGAGCACATACGAACCGGATTTTGTGTGGTTGTCGTTTTTTGTCCCCGACGTGGTTTGAAAAGAACCCGAGGTTCTGTTTTTCTCATGCCCTTTCTCTACATCTCCAGCACTGACGAGGACCGAAGAGTCGGGCTTTCCAGGGCTGCCTTTCTGCAAACAGTAATCTCCCAATCCGCTATTGGAACAGTCCAAAACACGACCAAAACTTTGCGGGAAAACGTTGGTCTTTCCAGTGCTGGAGTAAAAGCCAGTGCTGGAATGATTAATACCCGGGTGATAGTGGTGGTGACAGTAGAAATTGTCGTTCTTCGTCCACTTTTCAGTCATGGCTGACGGAGGAAGGCAATTTCTATCCTCCTCCGCATAAGAGCAGTTCCCCCTGTGGTTCCACTTACCCGACTCATATGATAAATCCCTGACTGGCGGAACTTGCGTGAAGTTAGTGGAATACGAATATGTGATTTGCCGTGAGTGGGCTTGAGGTAAAAGCGAAGAAACGGCAGAATATTCTGGGGCGTAATAGGTTCTGGGGAGGAAGAGTTTCGAGGCGCAGTCCGCCCGCTCTCCAAACTCGGAAGTCCTTTGTTTACAAGACTGGGAGCAGGAGTTGCCTAGATTGAAAGAGTTAAACATTATACCCCTCAGATGTCCGGTAGATCAAAATGAATGCTTTGGATCCGAACAGAAGAAGAAAAAAATTGGAAGGCGAGATGACGCGCTATATCTCACCACTAACTCGCCCTAAGACACGTGATCGAAAGTTGATATTCTCGTATATCAATTTAGAAACGTTTCACACGTTGGAGTGGTTCACTCAAGGTAAAGACAACTCTTTCAAGACTATCATGGAGATCATGGTGCTCTGGCGGTATTAGTTTATTGTAATGCCATATTATGGCATATATAATAGCCTTCACATTTTCAGGCCAGAGTGTTACAATTTTCACTAGTATTCAAAAACTAATAATTTATGTGCCTTGAGTGTATGAATAGAATTATGTCTTTATGTCTTTCTATTCATAACAAGAGTTAAATCTCCATAATGATGATGATGATAATGATGATATAGCCCATATAGCAAATTTTGTAATCATAAATCATGAAGTAGAATACAAACCTTGATGATGTAGGCTATGACAATACAATTTCAAAAATATAGTTCTATATTTTGTCTCCGAAAATCAACGTAGGCCTAATGGACTATTAATTGTATTTGGGTTGGTTAGGTTTTCAATCCACTGCACTGTCGCCGTTATCTAACACACTTGATCCAGAGCTCATTTGAGCTTCATGAGAGGCATAATGTAATGTGCTGTGCAGGGCCAGGAACATGCATGAGAAGGCCGGTGTAAAAGTCCACCCCGATCTCACGGCAATCCGTACGTATTTTACGAGGTGGCTACGAGTTCTTACGACCTCACTTTGAAGTTTTCTTGATCGTTCATATAGTTTCCCAATTCGAATGAATTCGTACGAATGCCCTATACACCTTACCTCGCCCCTAAACCACACACCACTGGTTTTAGAGACCTCAGACACACCCGTAGGCTTACGAATTGGTCTAGTCTGTAATTTTCTATTTAACAAACAACCGTGAGAGCTAACTTTGCAAGCTGTCTGTTTCATTGAGGTAACTCTGATATATTATCATAAAACAAGCACTAACATGGCAGGCGTGGGGAATTATGTTATTGTCCCTATAGACTCACATGATTTTAATTAGATGTTAGCCAAACTTTTCATCTTGCTTGCTTGAACTGTGAACAGTTTCAAGTATTATCTGGGGCCGTGTGTATAACAAAAATAATAAGGTCAAGAGTAGGCGTGAGCAGCAGCAACACACACGCGCGCGCACACACACACGCGCCAAGACTGGCATGCAATATTGGGCCTATATCGGGATGACAATTTTACTAAATAAATTCTCCCTTTCTGGTCAAATTTATTACAAATCACATTATAACAAGCCTGTAATGTAGGCTATTACATTTTTGCATTCATTTAGACAGACTTGGCTGCAAGTTAGAACTTCAGAATGGTGTTGGTTATGTATATAGTGCCTGTTTAGTTCATCGGACACAGCAGGAATACCATCGCTTACTATTTTTGCCTGAGAAGTAAGTGAACTATTCTGAACCCTGCCGTTTAAAATGTGTAGCCTGCTATTTCTACATTCGGGACTGGATTGGGAAACATAACAGGATCCGATGTGCTCACAATAGAATTTAGTTGAGAGTTAGAATTAGAATAGAAATATTTTAAACATGGCAAGCTAATAAAATTGTAGGAGTGACTTCAGCAATGGAATATGAGATTTATTTATTTTGGTGACTGCAGGCCTACAGAAGGGGACGTGTAAATGAAATGTTAATCTTTGGTACAAAAGTTAAGATCCTAACCAGTGATAATACATTTCAGAAACAGAGATGTGAGCAACGTATGGCTGAAATGGGTGTAATTGGAGAACTTTTGAATGAAATAATTATTTAGGCGGGAAATTAAACGTGCGTTGGGTTCCTTTCTGTTTAAAATGGAGTTCTAGAACGCCGCACGTGCATTTACTTCCCACAGGATTCGGTTGCAGTAACTCATGCACCCCGTAGTTTCTCCTTTTATGATGTTTAATTTCCTCCGCTTCTTCCGTTTTAAATTCAGAGAAAGAGTGCCGGTGTTTGAAGTTGCATTTAGAATCACTTCATATAGGCCTAGTAGCCTATATTTATGCCCTGTTCTCGCTGCAAAATAGTTTCTTCCTTCCAATATAACCAAAGCCGTTTTCCTGTCACACTAAATTAAGTTGATTTTTTTTTATATCGTCTTCTTTCTCCACTGACGAAACAAATCGAAAACCCGAGTCTAAACTCAACTGATCGTTCTTTAGGGTTTCAGTGGTGGGGATTTTAGAGTTGAATGTTATTATATGTCCAAGGGCATGCTTTTCTAAAACCGTTTAATTATTTATTAACCTTAATTTAAAATCCTCAAGATGATCAAACATATAAATGTCATTGATTAGGACGCTAAATGAAAAATAGCAACTTAATCTTCTAACAGGTCACTAAACGCGTCTCTAGCACGCAGTGTGTTTATCATGCAATTTATAGGTCTAGCCTACACGAAAATTAGTTTTTACGTGCATAGGATACGGTTAGGGTATCGTAGGTTTAGTAGTGCGTGTGTATTATACGTTTGGGTAGAATTTGTGCAATGGTGTGCATAAATGAACTGCGTATGTAGCTATGCTATCTCACGACCAATTCGTACGAATTCGACGCATGATTAAAAAGTGTCTAATTCGTACTAATTCGTACGACCTCACTCGTACGAATTTGTACGATTTGTATAAACCCACGTGATGGTTAGGTTTAGGGGCGGGGTAAGGGGTAGGTCATTCGTACGAATTCATACGAATTGGCCAATTCGTGTACGATTTAGCAAAATCGTACTAATTCGTAGGAGTGAGGTCGTACGAATTAGTACGAATTAGACACTTTTTAATCATGCGTCGATTTTGTACGATTTGGTCGTGAGATCGGGTTGGCGTATCAAATGCACGCGAAAACTGCGTATCATAAGCACGAAAAAACTAATTTTCTCGTATAAATTGCATGATAATACATAATGTGTGCTATAGAGACGCATATAGATTAAACTATTTCTGCCAAAATTGTATATAAAAAATGAGTCTTGTTTTTCAATGTTAAATGGATTTTTTAAAATGCATTTAATCTGTAGCCTTTAGATTCACATGTAATGTAAAAGGTTGTAACCTACGGTTTTTTTTTCTGTTACTAATATGTTTGCTATTATTTTTTGTTCTATGTTGCTATCGCAATATCTGTGACAATGTTGTTTCCTGATTTCTGTTACATTTAATACAGTTAAAAACAACCTTGTATGCCAGTATTTTTTTTCTTTTTGGATCAGAAAGCTAAATGGAAATGTTTAGGAAGACTGAATGTTTACTCCATAATCTTCTGTCACTCCTCCCACTGCCACATTCAAGGTCGAGTCCAGCACAGTCAGAGGCTGTAAAGAGCCCGAGTGTCTCGAAGTCGAAACCTTTATTACAAGTTGTGTTGAAAGAGAAATTAGTGCTAACATGATGCAATGCTGACGTCCAATTTTTTTTAAATTTTTTTACACTTATACGCAGAAGGCTATCAAAGCATTATTTTTTTTTTACACAACCTCATAACAGGACATTGGGACATTAGTAGAGTACGTTTAAAAAAATGACGGGTTGGAGACATTTTGATGAGAAAGTTTAAATTTAAGCGTGTTAAAAAAAGAAAAAACTTTAAAAACGTAAAAAACCAAATGTTAATAATTCTGACTAGCAAATTTAGGCTATTTCACGAAAACTATGCCTCTTGAAGCAAGATCAAATATTCATTTTAGGCTATAATTTAGACTGCTAGTGCTAAAACTATAGCTAGAGATACATGTCAGATACAGTTAAGAAACGTTATGCCATAGACAATAACAGAGAACAGATAACAGTTAGGTAATCACATTTTATTGGAAATTATTTTGAATCCTTAGTCCCACACTGATACAATCATTTAATTCTTATTGATGTGGCAGACATTTGCCAAAAACATCAGAAAGACATTGCACTGATTATAAAACGCCATTATTATAGCCTACACTGCTATCATGTACTCCTTTTTAACAAATATAGCATTAGCACAGAGTTCCTAGAGGAAAGCAAAACTAACCGCACTGAAAAAGACGGCAATGATGTTCGAGCGTTTATCACATGAAAATATCACAACAATAGGCTACTTTTTAAAGCCTGGCACCATCCATGCTGTACATTGGTCTGGGCTACAACAAAGAGACAAAAAATAAAAGCTAAAGCCTCTTTGTCCTTTTACCCTGGCAATCTGCAGTTAACAGATTTGACAAGCATTTGTACATGACTGTTATGTTTAGGGGGAGCATCCAGTTGTAAATTATATACATTTAGTCCGTGAGATCGGGTTGGTCTTTTCTTTTTTACGCATAAACTATTTCGTTTAAACTGGGTGCACGGTTACTTAAAGTCCAGTCAAGCTTCAATGAGAATTAGCTTGGAATCCGCGAACTGATACTCATCATTCCGATGTTTTATGAATCATCTCAGATCTCAGTCAGGATCCGCCTCGCTCTAAAAGTAAGACAGTGCCTGTTCCCGCGTCAGGAGCCTTTTCTTCTTCATGCGACGGTTCTGGAACCAGATTTTGACCGGTTGGTCCGTGAGATTGAGCAGGTCCGACAGTTCCCTCCTCCGCTGTCGAGTGATGAACTCACTAAGGATAAACTCACCCTCTAATTCATTCAGTTGAAGCTTTGAATAGGGTTTACGCTTCTTTCGGGTGTGTGTGTGTGAATTGGGAACCAGAGCACCGAGCACCTTAGAAAAAAAAAAAATATATATTTATGTTTGCAAGACAAACGCACAAGCTACGACATGCACTTATTTGAAAGCGCACATTGACCAACTCCTTTTAAAGAACATGCATGATTTCTCTTCAAGGTCCCCCACAGCAAGCAATTTTGCGTTTAAAAGACGTAATAGCCATCGAAACTTGAAAATTTAATATAGGCTATCATAGCCCAAGAATAGAGTCATCAATTAGATAACACGTCAAAGAAACGAAACAGCGTGAAATGTTGCTTACATACAATCTCATACATCTCACAAGTTATTTAGTCAAAAACGACATGCAACCATTCAAGGTTATTTTGGCTATAGAAGTCAGTTGCTCGGCTCGGAGTCGGACTATCGGGTCTAGTTAACTGATTGCTTTTGCTATTGCTTGCTGGGTCATCTTCTCATCTAAACACAACACTTAAAGACTCACCTCCGTGTGTGGCATTGTGGATGTCAGGGGATGTCAGTGGACTTGAGGTGCCCGGTGGGGTCTTGGACCCCTCGTGTGAAGAACCAGAATCGGATTCAAAGGAGCGACACGATGGAGGATTTAGGGTTAAATGTTCGATTGTTAAATAGTCATATTTGGAGTAGCCTAACTTCCTCCGTTGTCCATTCCGTTCAGATTATTCAGTCCTGACACAGATGAGTTGTCCAGTTCAAGACTGGTATTGTTATTGTCACCAGCACCGCTGGTGGCGCACGCACTCTCACGATAACAGCATCTGTCTTCTTCCTGTCGAGGAAAGTGGCATGATTGAGTGTATGTGCAGTTTAGGGAAACATAAGATTGTGGGTATCCACATGGTTCGGATGGGCTCCAAGACAAAGAGCAGATATTGTGTCTTCTTGAGGTTTCTATCCCTAGCGGTTCATCCGACACACGGACACCGGATAGATAGCATGCATCTCTTGAATGAATGTTAACCAATTGTCCAACAAACCCGGGGTTAAGGAGATTGAGCTCGCCCATTTTGGCGGGCCCGACTAAGAGTTTATAGTTTATAGCAAATCAGACATTAACGTATGGGGAAACCAGGCTAACTCTATTGGCTGTAGCCTATAGTGGTCACATGACACTGGTCGCGAGTGAGTTGCAGAAGGAGCCACCCACTGTGTTTCGTGTCTGACAAAGTATTAACTTGGTTTATTAGTTTTTTTTATTATTATACTGTAATGCCTTTTACTGCACTTCCAGAAGAGATTTTTCTTTAGGCCTATATCTCTTTATAACTCATAGCCAAGCCTAAATATCCCGGTAGGCTAGCTCATAGGCTATTCGTTTCGTGATTAAAACTTTTTTGTTTTTACATATAAATATTATTTGTGATTTAAAATACTTTTTACTACTTTTTATTGTTTATTATTTTGTCAGCAAAACAATCTCATCTCATCATGCAATGACGAGCATCAGGATTAGCCTATTTGAAATGTTAAATGAAGTTATGTTGCGCGGCTTTATTTTGACATTTCACAATTTTAAAGCATCTATCTTAAAACACACAAAGCAAATCCATGGTCAAAGACATGCTTTCCTCATATTTACAGTATGGTATATTAAAAAGTTGGGTAAGTTATGAATTTATCCCATAGCTACTAATTACATATTCAACAGTGTAATTATATTCCTGTAGCCTATACTTATTTCTCTCTCTAAAAAGTATTGAACTCTCTGAATCCGTTATAGAGTTGAACAAAACAAGTATACACAACTGCTCTTTTATTTTTTTCAAATAAATAATAGAAAACTACATAAAAAATTCTTGAACTGACCGAAGTATGGAAGAGGTTACATGAAAACATACATTTTATCATTACACGTTAAATTTTTTATGTTAAATTTACTATTGTTTATATAAAATTTAATTGGCCTAAATTTCAGACTAAAGAAAATGTGAGATCCCTTTCTTTACGTTTTCAAGAGAAAAGAACTTAATGGATAACACCAAACACTAATAACAACCTAGGACATTTGCATTAACTACACCCCCTCAGAAATACATTTGTAAAAAATTACATTCAAGACTTTTCTGACATTTCTCGGTTCAAGGTCACTGTCTAGTACATGTGTGCGACACATTTAAACAACAGCCTCAGATTCTGGACTTGAATCACACTAAGGTCGCATTCCTGACCTTCTCTAACACCAGACTTCACCCTGATTTTACAAACATGTAGGCAAACGATCATTCATTCTTAAAACTGAGGCCGATCCAACCTGATTAAACTTTATTTTTAATTAGGCCTACAACAAATGCAAAGTTATGCCTAGAAAAATAAATAAATGCAATAGATTGTACTTTTCAAAAATATTTAATCCAAACTATCATCGACATTAAGATCATTTTATGACATTTTAATAAAATATATTTGTGAGAGAGAGAGGGGGACTTGGAGGGAAGAGACAGAAACTATCAACATCAACAAATCAAGGGCATAAAATAATGATGCTGTGGAGAATTGGCCTAAACACATAATGACAGGAAAGTAGAAAGTAGAAGTAGATTTGGTAACAAAGTAGATCTGTTTGTGTTTTGGTCAATTAAAATTCTGAGTTACAAGCGCCTTTTACTGATGATGTAGCTAGTCGTCATGCTCACACAAATATAGCTACCCTTCCCGCCCGCTCTTAACCTGCACACTTACACTCTCTCTCCACTAGAGGCAGTGATAGACCACACTATAGGTCTTCTTTTAAAATTCTTGTTTTTAAATGGTCATTTAAACTAGCTCATAGGCCTTTATTAATTGCAACACTTGGGATAATTAAGGATAATGAATAATAGAAACACAGTCACTGAGACAATTATCCAGAAGAGAATCCTGTATTATCATTCAACAAACAAACATTTAGAAATCACATTTTACTGTTGATGAATAATTTTATAACTGTCATGCAGGATTTCTTGTAGTCTTGGCATAGGCCTTTCACAATATGTTAAAATTAAACATGCATTGGAAATGCTTTAATATGACCAAACTGTTTTGTCATTTTGCAGCTTCAAGGCACACTTAACCCTCTGTATAGACTACAATGGTCTACTTGTTGTCTGGTCAACCACCACACAGAGTATATATTCATGCTAGCTTGTTTAAAGTGGTATACATGCTGATGAGATCATATCTCATTTTAGAAACTAGGTTTGTTTAAAAAAATTATTAACCAATATATTAACCAAAATATTAACCAATAATTATTAACTAGAATAAATTGTTGTTTCGCAAGCAAAATGTGATGCATATTAATCTGCTAATTTCAAACAGAAATAGGGGTTGGTAAACACTGGCTGACAGGGGTCATGTTTAAACATATTTAAAAAGTATTACAACCATTCCCATATACAATAAGAACAATTAGTTGTTGTTTTTTTTTATACTTTTTGTTCTGCCTAACCAATGAAAAAAGACAATTCATGTCTGCCAATGTTTAAAAAAGATAAACTGATAAGGTTTCATTGAAGGGCAGGTCAGTCAGTTTTTGAAAGCCTACGATGAGGATTCTAGACTTCACACAATGACAACTCGTTTCTGCTGTTTGTATGGAGCCTTTTGGCCACTCGAAGCAAAAGTAAGCGTGGGTCAGATGTGCCGTCTGCAGTCTCTGTCCCACCAAACCTACACTGCAACATTCACTTGTTAATAACATTCACTTGTCACTATCCTGACTCTTATTGAGAATATTCACACAGACACACACACTAACTCAATTTACAATCTCAAACTTTGTTAGACCTACATGTTCAGGAGGCATTGAGTGTTAAGCATATTTAAGCATATACATTAAGCATAAATACTGTCATGGGAGTTTGTTCTTACACAGACACACACAGACACACACAGACACACACAGACACACACACACACACACACACACACACACACACACACACACACACACACACACACCTCAGTGATTGAGTCATGGCCAGTCACAGGGAGAGAGGAGTTGTTGTGATTGTTATTTTTGAAGCATAATGAGGCATTTGTTTTTGCTCCTTTTGTTTATTTGTTACATAACTTACTCTTGAATGTGTTACACCCTGTTCCGAGGCACACCGTGTATTTGACATCAACTCATGGGCTCTGATATTCTTGCAGATTTTTGCCTTTATAAAGAAATGTGGATATTTTTTGTGTAAAAGCAGTGTAGCTGAAAAATTCAGTGAGCTACAGATATGATCTAATAGAGTTTCTCCAAAGCTTCGTTAGGCAATTATGATTACAAACAATTTCCATCATTACCAACATTATTCACCGATTTAACCTTTACCATAGTCCCAATGAACATTCGCAAACTGCATTTGTGGTGGGTAGAAGCATGTTTCTTGTTACATTTGTCAACATATTTATATATTTAATTAATTTTAAATTATGTTTTATTAACAGAGCTCAGGAGGAGCACGTTCAGTTAATTAACAGGATTGGAGTGAACTCAGCAATCAATGATAAGAGGTACTGTATATCAAGGCATTCTCATCCTTTAGCGTCATATAGAACGCTACATGACAAAACCAACACATGGGTGAGAATGGGCTGGACAAAACACATGGCACCCGGATTTATGACGCCTTGGGTTCGCGTGAATATTTGGGGTCGCGTGAATATTAACGATAAAGGGTGCCATGTGCGTAGTATAGCGCCGTTTTGTCATATAGCGTTCTATGTGACGATAAAGGATGAGGACGGGCTGTATAGGATTCAGCAATCTCACCTCAAGATAGTTTAGCAGCATCCCACACCTCCCCTTCTCCACACTTTCAGTCTTAAACACTTACATAGGGGGGAGGACTCTGGGTTCGGGCCAGACTTGAAGCGGAATTGTCCATTGCTATAGGCTATACAGCCTACTGTCGCACGCACGATGGTAATCCAGCACTGGCTTGCATAATTTCATGAAAGTATGATGTATTGACATCAGAAACGAAGAAAAACTAAATAATGACTTTTGTAATGCTTGATGTATAAAGCACATCACATTTGTAGTTTTCTTATGTCTCATTAGAACTACAGAAACGCGACCCGATCTTACGTAGCAAATATAGAGAGCCTAAGTCCCGCCCCTCCGCTTCCGGCTCACGGGACCTTATTTCGGAAAAAAATATGTGTGGTAGTCAATTTATTCCGTCTGAACTGTGCCCTGAATTACTCATATTATGTTTGTCAATTATTCTGAAAGTCAAAAACGTCGCAGTTTGTCATAAAACAGAAGAGTAACTTTTAGTTTTATGTGAAAAGTTAAGTTAAGTTAGTAAAGTTAGCTTTATTCATTGAGTAAAAATGTGCGCTTTTGGGGTTTGTAGTCTCTATACGTATTTTTACAGTCGTATAGGCCTACCTCAAAGGTTTCACATCAAATGGCGACATTCTTTACTTTAAAATGTGTCTTTTAAAGTGACAAACATCATATGTGTAAGTCAGGACACAATTCAAACGAGATCAAATTATTTGTTGTCTCTCGCACTTAACTACCACACAATATTTTTCCGAAATAAGGTCCCATGGTGGTCGACCGGAAGGGGAGGAACTTTAGGCCCTCTTTAGGACCGCAAAGCGGATCCAGAAGGGCCTTTCACCCTGTTACGACTTAATGAACCACTCAAACAATTTTGGAAACATTATTTTAAAGTAAAAATCCTTCTTAGTTTTGATTTAACAGACACACATCACACATTTTTGATATTGTTATCATTCATGGGGGAACCCATGGCTTACCAGGACACACACCGCTCACGCATATTAAAGACTGAAAAAATACTGGAGATCGAATATGGATATGAAACCTGTATAGAAACACAAGTTGACATAATTTAAACGTACAATGACAATAGAGTAAAATATTTTACATATAGCAGAACGTATGTTAGATGATCACATTTAAGCAATAGCCTAAGTGGATAATAAATATGTTTCTCCATAGGCTTTCGTTATGGACAGTCAAATGCATCCATGGCCTGCCATTTCATAACTTACTAAGGTTTGTTACATCTCAGTCAGTCAGCATACGTTGACAAACATCTGGAAATTGACGTGTGCAAAAATTGTACACATAAATAATTCCAGCTTTGTCAAATTATTTTCTGCACATTATTTTCACTTACATGCAGTATGTGTTTTTGTGTGTTCCGTTGACCACTAATAAAGTTCTATGAGCTTCACTCTCCAAATTGCATGAAAATATTGCGGAATAAAAGCGTTGAAAGGAGAATATAGACTACCCTATCAAATAGAAGGATTTCTTTTGCCGTTCAGTACATCACTATCAACAAAGCATTTATGTAAACGCATTAACATCGATTTTATAAGTTTCTATAAGACACAAGAACCTTGCATGCTATTAAATGGAACAAAAACGATAGGAAGAAAACATTGCTGCAAAGCCGACAATAAAACATTCATGGATGGATGACATCATACGTTGTGATGGACTTTTGATGATTTTGCTAGACCAACACATATTAACAATTAACATTCCAGTTGTTTTTGTAACAACCTTCTGTGATAGAACAAATATAGGCCTACACAAACGAGGCAAGAAATACCAGTAGGCAATGGCATGATTTAAAATCTGTCACACCATAGACGGCTAATTTGAGCAGTAACAGCAGCAGTGTTTAGGCTATAATATCAAACGGAAAACCAACGAATCTGATGGGCTGATTGACATCTGTATTTTGGGGTAATTCTTCAGTAAAAATGAACAATCATCAGACCTTAAGCATTCCAGAATACGTAAACGTAACTCATTCTTTAAAATGTGAATGTTGTAACTCCTCTATGGAAATATATCTATTACTGCATTGTAAGGCTACTGAAACTGTAAAGTAGGCCATGTTTCATTAGAGAAGTGTTCATATGGCTGATCCGTAAGTTTTTCTTCTACTTGAATGAAGAATTTTTTTTGGCGCAAACAACTCGACGATAATCACATAGCATGGATGACTTTGCTTGGCGTTGGTTTACACACGAACTTCTTCTCCTTAACCCGGCGGTTCTGGAACCAGATGGTCACCTGGCGTTCAGATAGATCGGTAGTGGCGCAGATCCTCCTTCTCTTGTCTTTAGTGATAAACTTGCTGGCTTCATACTCTTTCTCCAGCTCCTTTAACTGGATCTTAGTGTACGGAACCCTCTTCTTACGGCCGCGACGATACCCGTTCATCTCGGTCTGGTGCGGCAGAACATCTGCAAACAAATAGTTTAAAGCGGGAAGAAAATCTTAGAAATCACTTGCAAGTACAATCTCTATTAATGCCTTCTTCTGACATAGCAAGTAAAATGATAGGTGAATGAAACTGATCAAAATTCTGACCAAGAGTTTAAAGATTTGATGCCGTGGGTGTTGCAAGGCCCATATGAGATTATTTGTTGTCATCTAATCTATAATTTTATTATAGATTGGAATATTGGAATAAGAAAATTGTTTGTTATAAATTAACATTTTCAAATGATTTGGAAATGTTTACATTTGAGCTGATACAAACACAAGTGAGAACTCCATCACTCACTTAGGCCAATAGGCTGAGAAAGCCTATTGGTGAAACCCGAAAGACCATAAAGAATAATCGTTAGTCGTTAATTTTCAATTAAATGTTATTTAAGTAAATCAGCACATCTTGGTCCTCATAAGCAAAAGCTCCACTCTTCTCAACACAGTGGTTTTAAACAATTGCAAAATTATTACTGAACATTAAACCCCCTTTACCATTTTAAAGCGAACATAAATTCAATATTTTTATTCTCCACATTAAGTCCTACCCAAAGCACGCTGAAACTACAGTTGTACCTTCGCTTCATATTCGCCCTAAACTTAATTTAATGAGCTTGGTAGATTATAGAATTACATTACTCTGAAGAAAAAAACAACAACAAAAACCCAACAACAAAAACAAACAAACAATCAAACAAACAAGAAAACAAGAAGAGAAACAATTTACTTATGATCACAAATATGATTTAGTCAATCGGACAATCTGTTTGTGGCATAAACTAGTTGTTTGTCAAGGCAGAATAGACAGACGAGATATTTAAAATGGTCACTTGTCCAAATATAGCCTAAATTTGCAGACAAATTTGTTTTACTTTAACATTAACACGACCAAAACCAATCAATGAGGTTTCTTTTTTTTTTGTTTTTTTTTGTTTTTTTAACTGCAATTGGGTGAGCGGCAGTGTTGGGTAAGTTACTCTAAAAAAGTAATTAATTACCAGTTACTAATTACCTCTTCAACAGTGTAATTAGATTACTGTAATAATTACTCTCTCTAAAAAGTATTTAATTACTTAAAATTACTAATTACTTTCAAAATCCCATATCAATCTCAACCAGCTGAATAATACAAGGATAGGCATGAATCTGTTTTAATTCTTTCAAATAAATTCTATAAAATTGCATGAATTATCCTTAAACTGACCAAGGAGGAGAAGGGTACATTATAAAAACATACTTTTTAGCATCAGACAATACATTTTGATGTTAAACCCACTATTGTTTTATGTCTAATCTCATGACATTTCACACTTTTTTCATACATATTTTACAATAATTCATACGAATTTGTACGAGTGCGGTCGTAATATTTAGACAACTCATAAAATAAAATGCATACGAATCGCTGCGAGATCGGATTGAGCTATACACAGTATTTACCTCAATAACATCAGAAGTAACTGTAATTAAATTACAGATAAATTAAGAGTAATCCCTTACTTTACATTTTCAAGGGAAAAGTAATTAAATTACAGTAACTAATTACTTAGTAGTGACACCCAACACTGGTGAGCGGGAAATTATTAGAGTCCTGATTGGTCACTTGCAATAAGAAGACAAGAGAAATCGTATAGCCTACAAGAGAACAAGAGCTATTGGGCTATTTAAGTAAAACGCATAAAAAGGTAATATTTCAACTTAAGTTTACATCCGCAACAGTTTAAAGTTAAACTGACACCTGCCAATCAAAATATCGATCAATAATCTATAACTACGGAAAATCCATCACTAGTGTATGAAAACAAGGAGCCCTACAAGAACATAAGCTATATAAATTATATTTAAGATTGGGTGACGATAAAGTAAACTTCCTCATATTTTTGAAGTTTTATTTTTTTTTCACAGCTCCTACTTTCCTCTTATTAAACTCCAATAGGGAAAGTATAAATTAGTGTATAACACAAGCGTTTCAAACATGAATACCAATTCCAAGCTTTATCATATATTTGCAAATATTTCATTTTACCAGAAAACTGGGAATTCCATAGGTAGTTAAAATGTGTTTGTTCCTTAGAACAATATAGTTGCTCATCCCAGCCGTTCGACAGTGCCCAGTGCTGATAACTGTCCGGGAATAAAGTTTCATGCCGGGACTCTGGGCACGCGCTGATTCCTGGGATCACCGGGACGTCCAAATACCCGGGTACAGACTTATAAGAGCTGGCAAAGCTTGGGTAAACAGCGTATTCTTTGGATCTATTGGTAAGCTCTTCAGATGGTTTCCCACCGCTTGGTTCCACGTATTTTTCTCCAGGGTGGAAGGAACATGGGTTCTGTTGCAGGTTTACGTTGTGAGAGTATGGGAGTCGACATCCATAATATGGACTTCCGAATGGGTATCCATAGCTCAGGGATGAGCCCGATGAGGTCTGTGGCGCAGGGATATCCGAGTACACTGTCCGGTGGTTCCCAGAGAGGCGTCCCAGTGCAGGGTGCGGGATAAAATCACTGCAGTGAGAGGCAGGACAGCTCCCGCTCAATCCCTCCATGCTTTTGTTTGTTCATCCGAGTTTTTTTTTTTTCATTACACGTAAAACAATGTGTCCGCCCAGCGTCCACGCAGAATCAGCAAAAATCATCATGGGTTGCTTTTTAAAACTAGACTGACACCTCACTTCCAATCTCATTTTCTCGGTGCACGCATGCGCATTGTTAAACCCTGATGACTGACACATGCTGTCAAGATGAAGCGGATTTCTTAGAGGAGAAGCAGATGCATTTCTCTCTTAATATCACTGACGAAAACAGTCATCATAAATGAGAAACTTGGTGGATGGCTTGTAAATAGACCTAGCCTATAGATCAAGCAAAAAGGTTTATTTTTTCAGAATTATTGCAAGGACAAATAGGCCTACATAGGCTATTCGAGAATCGTTATTGGAAAGGTTATGCATTGTGACATTATGATACATCATTCAAATTAAGTCTAAAGTGTTTTGCAGACACGGAATGCAAATATTTTACTGCAAATATGTTATTTTTTTCTTGTTTTATAACACTGTCTAGCAAACAAGTAGCTAATTTGGATTGAAAAAGTTTCGTTAAACGTTTTACATGGGGAAAAAAACACATAATCCATTATAGTTATGTAGCTCAAGATTCCTTATAGTCCGACGAGTGTTAGACATTGTTTTACATAAACACTTATCCGTTACACGCTACAAAAGTTACAAAAACACGCTAATGCGATTGTCTGGGCGGGATTTGATAAAGATCAATGGGGATAAAAGTAATAAAATAACAAAGAATGTATACGTGGAAGTAAGAATAGTTCTCTGAGTTTAGAACTCCAGCCTCTTTCGCTTTCAGTGTAACATCTAAATAAATTGGTTTCACTTAGGCATAATTCCAAAATACTGGTAGGACAACTGTAGGGTCATTTAAGGGTTAGATCAAGTAAAGCGCATGCAAATTCACAATATTTATTTAGAATTTGCATATTCAAAATAAAAAATATGCAAACACCTTAACCCCTAATAACTAACCAGAAATATTGCAAAATAGTAATAGTCATAATAAATTAAAAAAGGAGGTAATCGGTAACATAGGCCTAATTTAAAGTTTACAAAAAACAACATTAATTTCCACTTCACATTTTAGTTGTGCATGTTAATTGCACGGAACTTTAAATAGCCTACCGAGTTAGGCCTACAGTTCGATCCAGAGCCCAGTTTACAGTGGTAGCGCAAGTAGCCTAAATAATGGTAATCGTCCAAATGCCACCAGCTGCAAGAAAACCCAAGGTCAAGGTGGAAACAGACAAAGAGTGTCGTAAGACGTCTAGACAGAAAGAACGAACTTCACACTTACATTGTCGAGTTCACGTGCACATTATTGTCCTCAATGGTATATTGTTTATCTTTACACTATAATCTTCACAAAATCTACCAGAGGAACCTCCGATTGAAACTTAAAATAAATTGCTTAAAATATATTTAGACTTTGAAGTAAGCTTTCCTCAACATGCCTCTGAATTCCTTCAGAATTTGTCATGTTAAAAGTGTCCAAATGGTTACATTTTACATTGAAAGTTATATAGCATTATATCAATAACAAAATGTATCAACATAGGTCAATGTTAATTTATGAATTATTGTTTGCTTTTAATGCATCAACGAATGCAAAGTTAGCCGATATAAAATGCATTTTAAAATATGTAGAAATGATCCAATTAACTTAAAATGCTAAAATATATTGTTCATTACATTATATAAACATTTCAAATACAGATATTTGCTTTATACAAATTTCTCATCATTCGGCGTGACATGTTAAAATGATTTTGCGGCAATTTAATAATTTTTAACAAGAATTTAACAAGAAATAGGCCATCACAAAAAAATATGAAGAAATATATCAAGTATAGCCTACCCTATTATTATTATTGACAAAAAAAAGTCAATGACAAATGACAACCCGATAACCCTCACGACAAGGTCGAAGTCGCAATTACGAATTCGTGTGTGATAAGAAAATGTGTAATCGTAATACAATCGAAAATATAATTCAATGAAATTAAACTAAGCATGAACCAGCATCCCTGATTTCACCTCACAACCATCATTGGGGGCATAGAGTGCTAGAGACGTATTTACGTGAGAACAGGCTGATATAATCATACGAATTCGCTGCAGAAACGTATTGTTGTGAGGCTTTTTCATCGCAAATTAATTTTGCGAATTCTCGCTTAAATTGAAATATTTTAGCTAGACGTGAGATCTTTCAAATATAATCTAATATTATTAGTAATACATAAATATATAATGAATCATGCAAAAACATAATACGGCTAAACTTGTGATTGATAGGCCTACTTGGGCTACAGTCGGCTAAACAAGAAAACGGAAACTTACAAATATGCCTTTAGAAAATTCTGTTTTTAAAGGTAGCCTACTTAATCGTAATTGTTCTTTTGTGGATGAGACGCATACCTCATTATAAGGTAATTATACAAAGTCTTTAGACCTATTTATATGTTTTGACCATCTTACCAGCGATCAGCCTGTTCAGAAAATGTTGATGCAAATGACAGACAAATAAGTAGCCTATACGCATAGGCCCATCTTTTATATTTAAATTCAACTGCAAGCATTCTTGCTCCGTTTAAAATCCTATGAGGCCAACTGGAAAAGTCTATGTTTTCCACTATCATTTGTGAGTTTCTGTCATCTACCCTAAAAATCTGTACATCGAAAATGTATATTACTTACTTTATATTAGCCACTTAATTATAGCCGAACTATATAATCACGACCAGTCTTTAAATTGGGATAAACTAAATAGCTAAAACAGCTCTTCAGCCTTTGCTCAAACCACCATATCTGCAGAAGTCCAAGTTCAAGTTAAGGAATCTCTGTCCAGACACCAGACCAATGGTCGTCAAGCTCTTTTTACACTTGGCTCTTCAGCGGATGGCACCGTAAAGAAGGCTGACTTAATAACAAGTCGTATACGTTTCAGGACACAACTTTGCCTGGGTGGTCTGCAATGATTAATATTTGCAACTTGCATTCATGGCTAAAATAATTCATTTAATAATAACATTAATATAAAATCCGTTGCCAATAGCTGGCCAGAAATGAGCCAACACTATAGTGTGCACTGGAAAAACTACACATTATAAAATGTATTTTAAAAGCCACGAGGATAAACTGAATACAGATTTTTAAGCATGCAGTATCTGTTATTTGAGGATATTCCACTGAGCTACACATTCAATTCAAAATGTATTTGTACTTCAGAAATTTTTTACGGACATCTCACAGACATGATGTTTCGCCCAGTTGTGTATCAGCTAAACGAATACGGTTTCTTCTCCGAAGTCAAATTAAAATACCACGATACTCTACACGTCTGACTCTGAACACATTCTCTTCGATAAATATAGAACATTAAATATGATATGCAACACTTAGGACTATACAGTTGTTGTTCAAATACAGTGCAATGCCCCAGCAAACCCTGGCAGTTTCAAATAACATTGTAATGAAGCCTTATGAGCATAATTATTTTTGAGCGCCATTTTCTTGTTCCAGCTAGTGACACTGGCACGTTGTTTCACTTTCTAGTGAGGACTATTTCCATAGTTTTTAATATTAGGTTAATGAAATATAAACATACCTCAGAATAATAAATTTAGATATAAACTTGTCCAATTTATAAGTCGTTTAGATGAGGACATCGGCTATAGGCATTGCATAGTTTCACTGTGTGGCCCTCTGAAGCAGTGGGTTAACAACCAGCACCAATTCGGGGATTTTATTTGGAAGCCAGAATTTTCTTATATCGGTAATTTCATTTATATAACGCTTGATTTCTGCGATGAAGCTGCAGGATTGTTAAAGCTTCCATTGTTCAGCATTCAGAATGCACTGCTTTTATTATTACAGTTTGAAGAATCCTCATCTGATAAGATAAATAAGAAATGTATTTTGTATCATTTATGCTATTTTGAATGGGATTATGGTTAAATGGCTGAAATTCTGCGGTGAACACAAGCTGAAGACTTTTACGTTAAATGTTACGTGTCTTTTAAAGATGATAATAGACGTCTAATCCAGCCAAATAATATAAATGAAAATGAAAAAAATAAATGAAATGAGTGAAGAAATTAAACCAAACACCTTGCAATCACTCTTTACTTGCTTGCATGAATATCATATATCCAACACTATCTCACGACCAAGTCGTACGAATTCGACGAATGATTAAAAAGTGGCTAGTTCGTAACAATTCATACGACCTCACTCTTACGTATTAATACGATTCGTACATATTTTACGAATTGGCCAATTCGTATGAATTCGTACGAATGACCTACCCCTTACCCCGCCCCTAAACCTAACAATCACGTGGGTTTAGACAAATCGTACAAATTACGAGTGAGGTCGTACGAATTAGACACTTTTTAATCATGCGTCAAATTTGTACGAATTGGTCGTGAGATCTCGCAAGTTATTTTGGCAAAAATGACATGTAACCAAATTCAAGGTTATTTTGGCTAGAAGTGGGCTACTCATAACCGGACTTCGAGTCTAGACGGAAAAATGACGGCTATTGCTTGCTAGGCCGTTGCTAACAAGTGGCTATGGCTGTCGAGGCAACACAGTCTCGTCGAGGAGATTAAACATCATCATGACGAAAAGGTAAATAGACCACTTTTACAATATGCATATAATTGTGCTCTTATAATCTTTTCTAACTCAACGTTTCTGTGAAAATATTTTTAGATACAAACTGAAAGAGTCAGTAGCTTAGTGATGGTGACGTCACTGACGTTGAACTCGTGGGACCGTGTAGTTCGTTTAAAGCCTACCTTTAGCTTTTTAATTCTGGTGGATGCATTTAGGCTTCAAAATGCATAAAAGTTGTGTTCATCTGTGAAAATTATCTTGATGGACAAAACGTGCAAGTATCATTAACTTTTATTGATCACAGAGCTTGTTTTTGGCTAAATTCCAAAAGTCTATCCATTGGGTTTTTGTTGAGGGAAACAGCGTGATGCTAACTCAAACTGCCTATTAACCTACACAGTGACGTCATACATT